AGGGCTAATTTCTCATCATTCAGTTGACTCACAGTGGCTTTTAGGCTGCCTGTAATATTCTGTCCCTCATCAATCTTCCTGATAGCTGTCTCTTTCTCCTGGACCAAATTGTCTTTCTCCCTCTTCAAGTCCTCCAATCTATTATTCAGTTCAGCTTCAATCTCTCCAGCATTGTCCAGTTGCTTCTTCAGTTCACCATTCTCTGCGAACAGTTTTGATCTCTGAATTTCTAGTGTTTCAGCTTCAGTTTTCAAATCTGCGTTGATTTTCTCTGCTTCTTCTATCTTGCTCAAGGCTGCAAGATATTTTGAATTTAGGTCCTCCTTTTCTTCACACGTAACTGTCAATTTTTGACTTAATTCTGCAACTTCTGTGCGTTCCATTTCTAGTTCTTGTTTTAGGCCATCAATTATCTTTTGGAATTCATTTTCCAGTTGTCCATTTTTGCTGTCTTTGTCCTTTGAAGAGTAATCTGAATCTGAGTCTGAGCTAGATGAAGAACTCTCCTTTCCTTGCTTTCCATTAATCTCTTTCTTCAACTCTCCTGTCAGATGGTCATATCGAGCATAGAGTGATTTGTATTGATTGTGGAAATCTTCAATTAGTTCTACAAGTGATTCCTTATTGGAAAATTGTACTGAGCTACCATCCTCTTCATGATTGTCATCTCCAATAAGCTTCAATATTCTTTTTACCTTGTCTTCAATTTCTGCAGGGGCAAAAACACCTGATCATTTGTTTGATCATATTTGACGAATTTCAGTGCAATATTGAACTGATTTCATACCTGTTTTAGCCCTTTGCAGCTGCTGTTCTTTTTCAGGGTCAATATGACTTCCAAACAATGATTTTATAGATTCTCTAAAGCGATGTTTCACCATCTTCTCTATGAACTATCCACTCTTCTCAGCAGTTGCCCATGAAGATAATTTGGTCTCTTTGATATCAGGAATTCAGAAGCTGAAAATTTCAAAACTAGTGTTTGATTTCTGGATAAAGTGAAGCAGTTGGTTTTCAACATATTCACTCTTTCAAATATTTTTCCTAAAAATCTTTTCTGAGAAAGTTTTTACTACTCGGACCTGGGTACAATTCTTTTGGTACATGACACCATGAGAAATTTTATTCAGACGTACATTTTCCTTTGATAAAAGAATGTGTCTGACATATCAATATCAATACAAAATATAAATTCTACAACAAATTGCAGTATTGCACTATTCAAAAGTTATAAACAATACAACTTATTCCTCAGATTCCATTCAATACAAGGGAAGCCCACTAGTTTTAGTAATATATGATAACACCACCACCCATTCAACAGGGCAATAAGATTTTAAATGAACAGTTCAATTTGTATAACAGTGGTTTTCTCTTTTCCTGAGTCAATAATAACAAGGTGAATTATTATTGCAATTGTAGCAGATTGAATATGATATATTATCAAGGACAGGCAAGTAGGAAGCCCATCGACTCTTGTACCATCAGATCAGAACTTAGCAATCAGGGAATTAAGTTCTGATAACAAGACCACAACTGTAGAGAGGAATGCATTACTAGATGTGACCGCGAAAATTTGACATGAGCTATTTTCAGGTGTTAACTCTCTTGACGAAATTGCAAGAAATCTACTGTGACACGTCTCATAGAGATACAAATTTCCAGCGTATGGGATGAAATTGTCAGCTAAAAATTCAAAAGCAACTGGAATAAAAAGGAAGAATGACATATGGAGACGATTAAGAAGTACGTTCACCACTTTCTCTCTTTTCCATTCTAAAACTATTATAATTGCTCAGCATAAGAAGTTGGAATACTTGCAGCTTATGAACTCCTCATCCCCTCTTCGTATTAAGAGCAAGTTGCACTTAAAAACCAAAAAAATAGAAGGCACATACTAAGTCACGGAGCTGAAAGTAACTCAGCACTAAAATCCACAATATTTCATTGCTCAAAGACAGATTTTTTTTTTTTTTAAAATGGCACTTAAAGATCCATATAGAGTATTAACAACATTTGAAGACATTCAAAATCAAAATTCTTCTGGAAGAAAAATATGACTTATGCTCTCAAAATTGATAACAGTACTTTTCAAAAGAATCATCGATACCTTCTGAAAATTTCAATGATATATTAGGTCTTTTAAAAAGAATTTTAATTTAATTTTTAAAACCTAAAATATCATTAACTTATCCGAAACGTCTTTGAATATTATTTTTGCGATGTTTTTTTGGATTTTGTTTTGGGGAGGTGGAAGGGAGGGTGGACATATGTGTCAAAAACCTCGGCATTCCTCTTCTCGCACACCCAAGACATCATTTTGTTTTAAAATATTTCCTTAAATTTAGAAAAGCTATTATTTGGTAGAATAAAATCCAGTTAGAAAGCAAGAAAATTTATTCGATCTGTCGCCTAAATAACAAGCATAAAAATTTTATGTTCAGGAATAGATTTTAAGTTTTAAGAAAACTAATATATCGAACAAATGCAAGTTGCCAAACAATGCGGACTAACGGTGGGTGCCTATATTCGGTCAAAACAAAAACATGGGATGCCTATATCAGTAAATCTTAGGTTTCTCCGCTCGCTGTCAAGGAACGGATGCAACTGCATCAAGAATGAACGAAAATTGTTTGCGATCGTTTAATATGGTCCTATCATCTTTAAAATGGCCTACCGCTAATTTCCAATATTTAATAAACATATCATTTTTTTTTGCCAGCAAATAAACATATAATTTTATGAATGAAGCAATGAATAAATAATCAATTAATTAGAAGGAAAAAATGAGCCACCAAAAAGTAGTTAACGTGAATTTAATCTGGCGCCATATCAACTCCTCCGCGAATGTTTGAAAGCTGACTGTGATTCTATGAAATTTCCACAAGTTTTTCCTTCCCCACGGAAAGGAAAGAAAGAAGAAAAAAGAATTATCGTTCGCGATTTATTGGGGCCAAGAAAGAAAGAAAGAAAACGCAAGACTTAAGAAAACGGATGATAATCGTTAATCTCAAACTTCTGATAAAAGCTGTCTAAATCAGTATTTCGTCCACATCAGATAGCTAAATCCAATAAGTAAATTTCTGTACCTGAGATATGCTTTCACTTTCTCTTCCACTCTTTTCACAGAAGCTTTTAGTTCTTCTCCAAAATCAAACATGCAGCAGGCTAAAACAAAACAAGAAACAGAAAATCCAATGCCGAAAATAAGATGAATATAAAATGATCGAATAAATTGAAATTTGGATGATAAATCTAGTTTCAATTAATCATAACTATATTATATGAATAAAGAACAGTAATCTGCAAGCATCACGACTCTATACAAGTTTTCCGTAACTAAAAAAGCGAATTAAATTAAGAATCAGAGATGATACAAGCTTCAACGCCATGCGAAATTGCAGAAATCAACAAAGGAATACAGAATAATCAAAGGACACTGAAAGGAACAAAGAGGTAAGTAGCAAATAGTAGCTCGCATAAATTGATTAAATTCAATTTAGCAGAGAACGAACTTGATCCGATCAAATCCACAAGCAAGCAAGGGTGGAATAGTTAAACGGAACTACAAGCTCCAAGGCCAGAAGCTCGCCTCGGAGAATTCAAACACCAGAGAAAATATAACAGTACTCGAAAATAAAATTCACCATTACCTGAAAGTCAAAAAGCGAATATTATCCTTCCGGAACCAGACGATCAAAGTTGGAGAGGATCGAAAATCGAAAACAAGAAAGGAAGATAGGACGAGCACTTCAATGAACGCGAGGAGGACAGAGAGGAAGGAGAGAGCTTAGTTTACAAAAATTAAAAAGAAAAATTACACTCTCAAAAATTTTGAATGCAAAAGTAGATTTGTCTGGATTGGAATGCTCCATGGGGACGCCAGCAATTTTGCAGCTTCATATTTCGGGACGGAATCTTTGGATTTCATCTTACATGTTTGCCCCTCGCCCACTAATTTATTACACTAGTGCCACTGCGAACTTTCCGCCGCGCGATTTCTCGTGGTGACGTAAGCAAAAGACGGTTCGGACTGGTGGGCTTGAGGCCCTCCGCGTTATTCATGCATTTGCTTGCTTTTCACATTAATTTCATAATTTGATTATTGGTACGAGGAATTTTTAAAAAATTAAAATTAAAATCGCTCATATAATTGAGAAAACAGCATTTGCTACTCAAAATGCCAGAGAGGACCACCGTATGATGCCACCAGGTCTTGTTTGAGTATATCGAGCTCATCTGTCTCATTTTCCGGCACGCACGCAGGTGCAACGTGCTCCGTGAGCTGTAGTCTCTCATCTCATATGGCCCCATTGTTTCGGCTTTCTTATTTTTATAATGAGATGAGATTGCCAATCTCGTCTTCAAATTATATTTCTCTTTTCTATTATTTTAATCGATACCGCGTCGTTATTTATTACGTTACACGTGTAACAGTTTCATATAAAGCAGAGAACATTTTGTAAAGTCGCTTTGTTCAGCTGCTAAAGGCATATCATCACAAGAAGAAAGATCATACTTTGGCAATCCTATTAAAAATATGGAGACCTGAGACGGAAAGCCTGCAAAAGCAAAGTTCAAATTCCAGAATGAATAAACTAAAGGCCCCAAGTGTTATTGACCAATGGAAAAACAAAAAGATTAGGCTCATCAAGTGTTTAGTTGAGAACAAAATGAATCAATCACATGGCGAACTGGTGATATGTTTAAAAATGAAATGTTAATTCCGCAGTTGATCGGTAAATTGTACATTGCATGATACAAAAATTGTCTGAAGCAGAAATGAATTATTGGGGTCGTTCTAACATGGAGCATTATAGCCACGGACAAAAAGGGTGGCAGAAAAAATAGTTTGGTTATTGCACGTGGTGGACAATCTGGGACCCAAAAGGGAGGGCATACAAAAAGAATGGAGTCAAAGGTCATTTCCTTAATTCTGTCTCTCTAATTTTTTTGGATCAGCTTTCCCTCTAGTTTTTTGACATATGAATAAATGCATGTCAAGTTCTGGTGCTTGTGTTCTTCTTAGCGATCAAACCCTTGAGAACGTCGCAACGGTTACGATGATAATCATTGAGAAAACAGAGCTGCCTTATTGCTTCCCTCTTCGTGTCTCCCAGATTCACCAGCTCTTCATCCTTCTCTTTCAAGCTCTTTTCCAACATTCCCACTTTCTTTTCAAACTCTGTCACCGATTTCATTAGATTCAGATTCTCTTCTCCTTCCTCGCTCAACCTGCCCTCTAGCTTCTCCACCTTCTCTCTCAATAACAATTCCTGCTCTTCTTTATCATTCAGTAAAGCAGAAAGGTCTTCCACGTTTGTCTTCAGTTGTTTCATGTCTTTCTTTCTCTGCTTTATCCAATCTCTCGCGTTCTGAACCTCTTCCATCATTTGAGCCACGCGGCCCAGAAAACTAACCTGGGCATCTTCTAGCTTCGAAGTAGCCAACTCTAGCACGTTCAGAACTTCTATTGGTTTCAGTTTTGTGTCACCAAATCCTGCCACCTTTTCTTCATATATGGCAACTTTCTGTTTTAGCATTTTGTTTTCTTGTTCATACCTCTCCTTCACAACTTTGTAACCATCTTTGTTCTCGTTATGTAGCTGTTCTGCTACGCGGATTCTTCTGTATAATAGCCTGATACTGTCTTCTAGTTGTCGTCGTATCTCTTCGGCTAATTCTTCGATCCTCTTTTCTGAGAATTGTTTATTCAGCTTAAACTTTCTGGCCCACATTCTCGATTCTTCGATCTCCGCGCTGATTCGCTCGATGGTTTCCGCCTGATCTTTTATAGTTCTTCCCTGATCAAATACCGTTGCGAGGCTTTCTGAATATTCCTTTTGGATTCTTTCGTTTTGTAACTCCAACCTGATCTTCTCTTCCTTGTAATAGTTTAACTCTAGTTTCAGATCGTTGAATTGAGATGATAAAGCTATAGCATGCGGTGAAGCTCCATTTATACCACCGCTTTCGCGTTCCTTCGCTTGAGCTTTAAGCTCTTCTCCTGCATGTGTCACTGCTCTTTTCAGCTCAAGATTCCGATCCTCCAATGATTTGTTTTCATCTCCCATCTGTTTAATCTCATAATTTTTCTGTCTTAACTCCTCTTCCAATTTCTCTTTCTCTTTGCATCGGGATTCAAGTTCCATTTCCAGGTCCTTAACCCTTCCTGCCAAACCTTCATTCTCTTCTTGCATTCTGCGTTCAAGCAAACCCTTTTCAACTAATTGTTGATTCAGATATTCCATCTGAGTTGCTAGCTCTTTGTTCTTGTCGCATAAAGATTCCAAATTTTGACGCATGACATTGAGCTGGTCTCTTAGGCCCTCCATTTCGCTCAGTGCTTCGTCTCTACTGGGTGTTAGTTTTGCTTGCACTTCATCTTTCTGGTCGCGCAGAGTTTTCGCCTCCGTGGTAAGCGTGTTGATCTGTTCTATCAGTTCTGTAATATTATCCTGGCTCTGACCATAATCATCGAGTTTCCTCTGCAGACCAGAAACTTGGTCTTCTTTCGTGTTCTCCAACGTTTGTAGCTCTGCATTTTTGGCAATTTGAAGTTGCAGCTCCGACTTGTGACAGGTCAAGCTTTCTATATCTTTCTTTTGAGAATGAAACTGCTCTTCAAGCTCCTTTCCCCGAGCTGATATTGCTCGAGCGTGGAGATCACTTTCAGACTCATTATCCTCTGCTTCACATCTCGGGTCTGATATGGTAATGTGATGTTCACGTTCAGGCGAGTTTCTCCGGGTTTCAACTTCGTCTGAGGAGAAATAATCGGAGTCAGAGCTAGAGCAAGACAAAGAAGCAGAAACCCCACTGTCTATTCTGCGAGAAACTATTTTGCCGTTCTCCGCCGTGAGACGGTCGTAAAGAGCATATAGTGACTGGTACTGTGTGAAGAAGTCCTCGATGAGTCCCACAAGTTCCGTTTCTTGTCCCAAACGTTTTGGGCTTCTATCTCTGTTGCTGCCTTGATCTTCATTCTTAATAATCTTTAAGATTTTTGAGAGATTGTTTTCTATGTCTGCAAGTAATGAGAAAACCGTCGTAGGTTTAAATCCAACGTTAAACTAACAGTTTAGAGAATTAATCCTATTGAGAAGCCAATATTCTGAGTGTTTCTTACCTGTTTTGTTCCTTTTGAGTTCTTCGATTTTTTCAGGTTCAACTTGATTACCCAGAATGGTGCTTAGTCCTCTTAGGCGGTGCTTGATCATCTTTCACTTCACAAGGTTCGGGAAGGATGCTAATCAGAATGAGCTAATGAGCAATTATAGGCTCCCATTTTCGGCACAAAGTTGATCACCACCACTGAAATGCAAACAAAAGTTACATATATTATGAGTATACATATTTTTGACATGCTCATGACTTACCAATTAATGCTTGGACTAGAATATAAGAATGCATGGGTACATAATAACTTAATACTACCTCCTCCGGTGTTCAGTACCCCTCCTGTCCTGAATGTAAATGTAACACCCGTTTTCTAGTGCAAATCACAAGTCTTATATTTAGAGCTGAATGACTAGTATAAAAATAACTTAACTAATTTAGATAGATTAAAAAATTTAACTAATTTAATTATTTGTAATAAATATGAGTTGATTTTCTTAAAGTATCATTTAATCATGACTACTCTTAGATAAAATCTCATTGATATGTATAATTAATGCGGATATTTTAAAGAATGAATTATAAATTTAGGATGCAAAGTGGATTCAAAACTTATATTTAAGATGAAATCTAATTCTTAATTAACTTTTATACCATCTCTGATCCTAATTATAAGAGCCAGTTAACTAATTTGAAGGGATTAAAGAAGTAAGTTGAGTTAATTATATGTCCTAGATAGGTATTGTTTTTTCTAAAATGTCCTTGCTAATCAAGTGTATTGACTAGAACTATCATTATTAGAAGGGCTATTTTGGAAGAAAAAAAATGTATAAATATGAGAGACAAAGTGGATTGAGATCTTATATTTAGGACCAAAATAAAAGTCAAACAGGGTCTTATATTAAAGACAAGAGGTAGTATTAAGGAGCGGCCGCAGTAAAAATTTTTGTAATTAAATGAATACTAATTACTCCATCCGTTCCTTATTATAAGAGACGAATAACCGAATTACGTTGATAAAAAAACAGTTAAAATTAGTTAAGAACAATTAATGTATAAAAAGTATAATTTTTTTTCAAAAATACCATTGTTAATAAGGAGAGAAAGTATGAGAGAGAACAATTAAATTATTAAAAGAAAGAGAAGTTGGAGGGAGAGAGAGTGTGAGTTGGAGATAATAAATATGGGTAAAATAGGAAATCAACACAAAAAAATAAAGACAACTTGTAAGTGTCTCTTATATATAGGAACATGCTATAAACATCAAATGTCTCTTATAATAAGAAATGGAGGGAGTATTAAAAAAAAAAGTCCCGCCATTAATCATTTATAATTAGTACGATTTATATGAGCTTCTTAAAATATATACAGAGAGAGAGAGACTCACAGCCCAATGGTTTTGGAACCAATTTAAGGACTTGAAAATTTGAACATGTTGAGCACCAAAATGCAAAGTTTTTTTTTTTTTTTTTGTGGGGGGTTCCAAAGACAATGGATGAGAACATCTGGATACGGATGGAGCCGCAATGATAAACATGATCCGGAGCTTCTAGTGGGTGTCTCCCTCGTTAAAGTTACGATGTTGACCCACTCACCCGACCCCACTAAAGATATCGTTGCTATTTATTGATTTCAGATGGCCAGTGTGGTTGGACTTGGACCTCTCGATCTAGCACTTGAGAATTAGGACCATCCTTGAAAATTAACTTTCATTCTTTTTATCTCTTATAGTTGATTTAATATACTAATTTTCGTTTTTAATATAAAAATTAGTTTAATATTTAATTTGATTTTAAATATAAGATTTCAATCTATTTTATTTTTTATATTTATTTATTATTTTTAAATTAATTCTTATAATAGTTTTTTTTAGTCAAGTAATCCTTATAGTAGTAGCATATATTAAAAGTTTCATTAAATAATAGTTTTAGCTAATACGTAGGATTAATAAAAATATTTTAAAGAAAATAACATATATTTATTACAAATAACTAACTTAATAAAATTTTTTAGTTTAATCAAATTAATCAATTAATTTTTATATTAAGAACAGGAAGTAGTATCATCTTTTTGTATTTTTAATATAAAATTTATTTAACTAATTTAGTTGGGTTATTAATTCAAATAAATTAGTACCTCCAGACTTTAATATAAGAGTTAGTTGATTAATTTGAATAGATTAATAAAATTAGTTAAGTTAATTATTTGTTAAAAAAATAGGTGTTATATTTTCTAAAATATCCTTATTAATCAAGTGTATTTGCTAGAACTACTATTATTACAAGAAAAACCTTTAAAAAATGGATAAATTAAAAACAAAATGGATGAAGTCTTATATTTAAAATTAAAATAAAAGTCAAAAGAGCTTTTATATTATGGATCAAAGTAGTAGTTAATTAATATGATACACAAAGCATATTAAAATGTTATATTTAGGGTGAAATTTATCATCCGAATAGCTCATTTACTATAAATGAGAGGGAGTACATGATAATGTGTAACTAACCCCACATCTTCTATTTTCCGGATTAGTTCAACAACCTTTCCATCCAACTTTCAACATAAAAGGGTGTTTCAATTTCTGCAGCTGGAATTTGGAAAGGCCGATAGATTATAGCAGAATAATAAAATTTTCTTTCAATATGGCGATATACAATTTCCTTATGGAAATTGACACCGGGGATCTCTTAAATAGAAACAATGATATATCCATCTTGTGGGGCCTTGGGGTTACTCACTCACCTGTCCTGGAAACGGAATATTTCTTGAAGTGCTAATTTTCTCTCAGAGATTAAGAATTTGTGAACTCTCTATTGAAAACATAATGCATTGATTAAAGTTAACAAATGAGATAATCAGAGCCAAAGAAGATTAATTAAAATGCAACGATCCAGCTGGTTTGATCTGATGCCATCAAAAAATTCTTCCAAATTGAACAAAACAAGCAACATATGATAGAATATATTGACAGAGCACGGCAGGCTAGATTAGACCAATATTTTTGGAGCATTAAATTTTGAATGATATGAGTTCGAATTACATTCATACGTACATAGAATGACATTCATGAAACGCCAGAAAATAAATTACAGGGAAATTAAAGAAAAAAACCAAATGCACGAACTAAAGTAAAAGATTACGATTCATGATCCGAATTCTGGATTTTTTTTTAAAAAAAACCCAGAATTCAAATCCAGAGCCAATAGTGTTTGATAATATATATATATATATATATATATAAAAGAAAGACAGAGGAGTTAAGTACCTGGAAATTGAAGTGGATCTCCCTCCAATCCATTGGATTAAGAAAAACCGTAAAGGAAAAGGAAGAAGATGGGAAAATGAAGGGGGAAAAATTAAAATTTAAGGCAGAAGATGAAAAAGAAAGAAAGAAATTAAAAAGGAGAATCTCTAGCAATTAGTGATTTGTTTTTGCAAGTGCATGCTCTTGTCCGAATGAGGTGGAGATTTTGGCGCTTCTTGTGATTAAAACGCCCTTCCAGTTTGAAATAATTACACGAGAAAACCAATAAGCGGTCAGACGATATGTTGAATTTCTCGCTGAGTACCGCCTAAGGACAAGCTTCGATTGTTGTCCCTCGTCATATTGCGCCACGTGGGTTGCTCCCCATTCCACAAAATGGAGATGCTAGAAAGCATCATAATCATAATTTACAAGCACAGCCCAACTTGGGTCAAATTTTGTAAACATGACTCTTTTTCAGATAAGAACAAACAGATACTAGTTAAAATTAGTTAAAACAAATCCATGATGAGTAACTAAATACTCAACTGAAACTGGATAATCAACATGATTAAGCCATAAAAAACTGGATTAGTAATTTAGTAGTAAATCATGGGAAAAAATAAATCACACCAAGAACCAATTTAAACCTTAAACAATGAGAATAAAAAGTTCTCTAGTATTTGAAAGACTACCAGGACTTTTCTGTACATGATTGATTTTTTCATTAACCAGTTTTAAAACTTAATTCTTAGTGCTTCTAAAATGACATGGAACTACTGACAAAATTGGAAGACCAATCAAAATTAAACGTAGGATGTTTCTTAATTTAACCCCAAGTATTAAAAAAGTTAAAAAGAAAAAATGTCACCAGGGTTAATATCAGGGAAAATCCAACGCTGATTTTACTTAGATTTTAGAGGCTATAAAATGGTTTGTGTTAATCCTTTATTGATTTTTTTTTTTGGGTACAATAATCCTTTGTTGAATTAAAGTAAGAGATATCGTCGTGGGTGGCACCCCTATGAGCCTCACTCTGGTGTATAACTGGGGAGCTTGAAGTTTTGTTAGTAAATAAGTGATAAAGATAGACTGGGAGCTGAGCCTTTTGTAGCTTTCTTTTGGGCCTTTAGCCCCGTTTTGCTATCCAAAATAAAGAAAATGTCCGGTCTTTCGAAGCTTTTCGTGATAAAATTGGCAAATTTTTCACAAAACCAGAATCTCATCCTTTTTTTTTTTTTAATATTAAGAAGGCAAGTGTTACAATAAGCAGCTACCTGCCCAATACAAGACGTCAAAAAGTTACTGGCCATGTTCCAGTCCCGAATCAAAATACCCCATACAAAATTGGGGATATCCTGTAGAATTACACAATCCTGTTGTATAAAGTGAGTCATCCTAGCTAAACTATCAGCACATCCGAGATTCTCCCTAAAGGAACTAGAATCTCATCCTAACAAAACCATAAATAATTTTCTCTGTTAAGTCTATATTTATTTTTCTTAGAACAAATTGCCAACTTCCAAAATGCCAAAAAACTGAAGCAAGACAACACACCAGTCAGTGACCTGTAACTCTAACTACACCAAGCATCCTTCACAATGCTTTTTTATGCACGAGGTTACAAGTTAGAATATTTGGTTGAGGATATAAAATATAATAGATGAGTTATGGGGAAAAAAAGACTAAACGGCACTATTATTAATCTTACAATACTATAAACAAAACTTGGCATATTTGTGACTAACGGCTACTCTCATACATTTTGGAAAATCAAAATTCTGTCCCCACATTTTCAACTCATTTTCAAATTAGTCCCCCCAGTTTGTTTTCTGTAATTCAATCCTGAAATAATAA